CTCTCTGAGCCTCAGTTTCCTCATTTGTAAGATGAAGGGGTGGGAGTAAGAGGTCCCAGTGGTCCCTCCAGCCCTTGAGGTAGGATCTTACATGCTGTGTATGTGCAAGGCGCTGCACACAGACATTTCGCAATATTCATTGACCCAATCAATCCATCTCCAAAGTCTCCTTAAGTCAATCATTCCAAGCCTTTACTGAGGTGCATCTACTCTATGCAAAGCCCCTACTAAGCTCCGGAGAGGCTGGAAAGGCCCCGGAGCCTCCAGAGGAGCCCTGCAGACTGATCAGGGCAGAGCTAGAATGAGAACCCACCTCCTCGGGCACCGCCCTCAGCTCCTCGCATTGGGAGAACCTACGCAGCCGGGGCCTCAGTTTCCTCACATGGCACTTTGTTCTTTTCCGCCACCTCCCTAAGGGAGCTGAAGGGCAAGATCCGGAAGGAGAGCACGAAGAAGGAGCTGCTTTCGGGCCCGGCGCACCTGAACGAGACCCACTGCGGGCGCTGCCTCCAGCCCTATCGCTTCCTGGTCAGCAGCAAGCGACAGTGCCTGGACTGTCACGTCTACACCTGCCAGAAGTGCGGCAGCTACAACCGGCGAGCGCAAGACTGGGTCTGCGATGCGTGCCGGCTGGCCAGGTGAGGGCGCTGCGGGCCCAGCTGCGGGGGCAGCGCGGGATGAACTGACTGTTTGTTAGCCCAAGTCAACACCACGGGCAGGAAGTCTGTAAGGAAAGCGCTCGTCTGGGGGATTCGGAGTTGTTGTTAGGCATCATTATTGAACGGTGAACTCGGAGTCAGCAGAGACCTGGGTTTTATTCAGACCTTCAGCTGCGAGATTTGGGGCAAGTCACTTCCTTCCTGAGCCTCATCTTTCTCATCTGTAAAATGGGGAGAATAATGCAACCTACAAAGTTCATGGATTGAGAACTAGAAACTGTCTCAGAGATCATCTAATCCAGAGGTTCCCAAACTTATTTGGCCTACTGCACCCTTTTCAAAAAAATTACTCAGTGATCCCCCCCACAAGAAATCTACTTTATTTAACCCTTTAATGATTTTTAAAAATTTGTGTCATTTCAAAAAATGTAAAATATATATGTATATTTTAAATGATGCATCTTAAATTTAATAATTCATGGTAAATTTGTGGGGTTTTCCTGCATTGAAATTTTGATGACGCAATATTACAGTCATGTAGTATAGTACTGGAAACAACTCATTACACGCACATATTCCTGTGGATTCGTGCTGGACTTCCCAACAATGCACCACACACTCACCTGCCATCACTCACTCGTTAAGACCTGTCAGTGGACTTGACCACTGATCTGTAATAACTTGGATTCTCTGTGTTTATTTGGAAAATAATGTAATCGCTTTGACTTTAACTCTGTTACACAACAGATGAAACATGTAGGGATGGTTTTTCAAAATTTTCTTACTTTCTTTTCTTTTCCTATGCTTCCACCACCCCCTTATTTTTATTCAATGCCCCCCAATTGCACCAGAGGCTACTACTGCCCCGCATTGTTCCTGGGCCCCCCAGGGAGTTGCATTGCCCACTTTGGGAACCTATGAATCCAACCTCCTCATTTTACAAAAGAAGAGGCTGAGGCCTAGGGATTTGCCCAAGTTCACATGGGGAGTAAACGGCAGAGCTAGGATTTGAACCCAAAAAGCCATGGAGCCCAAATCCAAGGTTCTGTCCATTGCACCATACTTTCTAAGGGACTCACTCAAATTTAGTTGGTTTTTTCCCACTCCACCAAAACTCATGGAGTTGTGAAAAAAAGTCCTTTGTAATCTCTCAAGTCTTATAGGAATGCAAGCTGGGACTTTTATCCTTCTACTGAAGTCCTTTGTGATGTCCTCATGGGGCATGGAGGTGAACTTGGGTAATGAAGGCTATGGTGGGAAAATACAACCTTTGTAGCAGGATGCAAGGGCTGTAGATGGGGCTGAGACACACCCCCACCCTGTTGTGGGAAGACCAGTATAGCAGGGCTCAAAAGGGCTCATTCTCATATTAGCTCAAGAGGGTAAACTTCTCAGTAAGACCCATTTTGAAAAATGAGGCTTAACTAAGTCATGGAGGGGTCACTATCTGGGTCTGTGGAGGGGGCATAAATGCTGATGACATCAGAGATCTCTGAACTATTAAGATTTTGAATAGTGGGACTGTTGTGAAAGGCATCAAGGTGTAGTGAACGGGGAGATGACCACCTCAGAAAAAGAGCTGGGTGCTTGTATTGTACATAGGGTCGCACACATTGGCATTAACTCCCTAGTTCACAAGGATGTCTTTTTTTCCTTTGGCAGAGTTGTGAAGACAGGCTCCCTCGACTGGTACTATGAGCATGTGAGAGCAAGGTTTAAGCGTTTTGGTAGCGACAAAGTGATGCGCTCTCTCCATGGAAGGCTGCAGCTTGAACACAGTAACTCACCCGCTTCAGGTAAGAGTGTGGTAGACCGGGTAGGGGAGGAGGTGTCTGAGGTTCTCTGAGCCTCGTCTTCTTTGCATACAATGGACTGTGACCTTCACAGGGACAGCTAGGGGCCAGTCTGCCTCTGGAGCCCCTGGTTTCTTTTCCCAGATGAATGTGAACTGCCCTAGGTAATCAAATTATTCAAATCATAGTAGGAGTCCTCACAGATGTGTGTGTGTGTGTGTGTGTGTGTGTGTGTGTGCGTGGGGGGGGGGTGAGGGGGGCAGTGAGAGAGAGAGAATGGGAGAAAGAGAGGAGGGAGGGAGAGAGAATAGGGGAGAGAGAAAATGGAAGAGAGAAAGAGAGAGAGAATAGGGGGGGGAGAGAATAGGAGAAAGAGAGAAAGAATAGGAGAGAGAAAAAGAGAGAATGGGGGAGGAGATAATCGGAGAAGGGAGGGAAAGAGAGAGAGACAGAGACAGAGACACGGGAACAAGCTTCTAACAGTAACCCTCAGATGTAGGTGTTATTATTCTCTCCAGTTTACAGATGAGGAAACTGAGGCAGACAGATAAAGTGACTTGCCCAGGGTCACACAGCCAGGAAGTACATGAAGCCTGATTTGAGCTCTGGTCTTCCTGACTCTAGCCAGCACACTAACCACTGGGTCATCTAGCAGTCTTCTAATAATAAAAACAATTAAGACAAAAATTATGTAAATAACAAGAGTGAATCAAGTAGTAGAATTATTCCCTGCCCCATTCAGCAATGGGGGTGACTGCTTGGGCAAGTCATTTAACCTCCACCAGCCTCAATTTCCTCATCTGTAAAATGGGGGGGAATCAGAGTAGAGGGCTTCTGAGGTCCGTTTCCTCTGCATCTAAGATATTATAAATAGAGCTAAGGTTGTTTTCCCCCAGCAGGTGGCAGCATTGTGCAGCGTAAGCCTCCTTGGTATCTGCTCTGATCCGCCAAAGATTCATTTGGGATCCGTTAGCTATGCTGTCTCCAACCCCGAAGGCAGATTTAAGGACAGGGCTGGAGAGCATAGCATCCCCCCTCCAGAGCAGAGTTCTCTGGTTAGACCCAAGATTTAAAGCAGGAAGGCCTGCAGAGGTGTTCAAGTCCAACCACCCCGTCTTGCAGAGGCGGGAACTGAGGCTCAGAAAGGCTAAGTAAGCTGCTTGGGGTCACACAGCTAGTATCTGAGGCAGGATTCGAATCCAGGTCTTCCTGCCTCCAGGTTCAGCCTCTCTTAGGGAAGGAGAAGCGTGGCAGTCAATGTCTGAGAACAGGCATGTGTAGAACTTCATGCTCAAATGAGAGGCAGTGTGGCGCAGTGGGCAGAGAGCTGGCCTCAGATTCAGGAAGACCTGGGTTTGAGTCCTGCCAACAATAAAGCCTTACCAGCTACCATTTCTATACATTATCTCAAGTAATCCTCCCAACAACCTGTGGAGGGACGTGCTCTTATAATCCCAATATTACAGAAAAGGAAAATGAGGCAGACTTGCCCAAAGTCACACATAGCTAGTAAGTGTCTCAGGCCAGGCTCCAACTGAGGTCTTTCTGACTCCAGGTCTACCTTATGCATCGAGGCACCTGGCACGATCTTTCTCCATAAGATACCTCCAGAGAATGCTGCTGATGACGAACATGATGACGATGACGATGACGATGATGCAAAATAACATGGATGTGTGCTTTTAAGGTTTGCCAAGCATTCCCATCATCTCGGTCATTTCTCAATGAATGTCTTCTGCTTGCTTCCAGGTCTTCACAACAGATCTCACAGCCTGCCAGACGTGAACAGTAAGTGGCCTGGGCAGTTGTTTTGCTGGTGTTCTTACATTCTTACCTAAATTTCAAGGAATTAACCAGAGCCCTGAGGAAAAGCCCCAATTTCCCCATCCTAGTTATGGTTCTACTTGAAGTGGTTGGTGTCTGCATAAAGAAGAAAGAAGACAGGGCTCGAACAGACTCCACCTATGAAAGAGAGAGAGAGAGAAAGAAAGAGAGAAGGAAAGAGAGAAAAGGAAAGGAGAGAGAAAGAGAAAGAAAGAAAGAAAAAGAAAGAAAGAAAGAAAGAAAGAAAGAAAGAAAGAAAGAAAGAAAGAAAGAAAGAAAGAAAGAAAGAAAGAAAGAAAGAAAGAAAGAAAGAAAGAGAAAGAAAGAAAGAAAGAAAGAAAGAAAGAAAGAAAGAAAGAAAGACAAAGAAAGAAAGAAAGAGAGGGAGAAAGAGAGAAAGGAAGGAAGGAAAAAAGGAAGGAAAGCATTGGACTCTAATGTTTTATCCACGGGATTCTTAGTAAACCCAAATATTTCAACGAGAATCAGCCCACCCCCTTATCCTACCATGCACACCTCTGACTCCCCAAGGCCATGAGGGAGAGTGGATGCACTGGACTTGGAGTCAGGAAGACCTGAGTTCAAAGCCTGCCTCGGCACTCAGTAGTAATGTGACACTGGACAAGAAACTTAGCCCCTCTTGACTTCAGTCCCCTTATGTGTCAAACAAAGAGGCTGGTCCCAATGACCATTAGGGACTCTTCCAGCTCTAAATCAATGCTGCAGCCAGTCTCCCGTCCATCACAGGTGGAGCGCAGCTCTCTCCTGTCGGAGGCAGTGGGGAAAGCGAGCAGACGTCTGAAGATGAGGCTTTGGATGGTGCCGAGGCTCAGCATCTCAGCAGAGTGAGTGTCCCTGCTGTCCCTGTCCCTCCTTCCCTAAGGTCCGTTCTCTCATATCACTGGTGCCCTGCAGTCAGGACCAGTCACCATCTGGGCGCCCTTGAGCATCACAGGAGTTTCCAGTTCTGAATTCTCAACCCCCAGAGGTCAGACAATGAGGCCAGAGTGACCAGAAATCCAGAGCCAACTCAGCAAACAGTCCACGTCAGCTCTGGTCCCACCTCCTGCTGACACCTGTCCAGGTTACAGCGATCCCCTTTCTGGTCTCAGCTTTGGGCAAGCCAGAATGTCTGTTCTAGCCCCCTCCCCTCCTAACACTCAGTGAGCCTTTGGAGGGCCAAGATTTAGAGCTCATCTAGCCCATCCCTCTCATTTTGCAGCTAAGTAAATTGAGGCCCAAAGAGGCACAGTCCCCTGACCAGGGTCCCACAATGAGTGAGTGATTTAACCCCATATTGTGTCCATCCTAGAGCAGCCTTTGCATGAGACCTCTATACTAAAGGAGAGCTACAGATTCAGAAGGGCTGGGTTCAAACTTTGGCTGGGCTATCAACTACCTGTGAAACCCTAGGTGGGCCACTTCCCTATTCTCTCAGAGCCTCAGTCTCCTCCACTGTAAAATGGGAGTAAGACCCTTGTAGTCCCCCCATGCCGGGGCTGTTGTGAGGGGCCAGTGAGAGACACTTGGGGTATGCTCTGTCTGGCATTTCCCTCACCACTGCCACGAGCATCAGATGAGCTCATACATCAAAGGGCACCATGGGTAGAGCTGGGAACATTCGAATTCAAATCCAGCTCCGTTGTGACCCTGGGCAAGTCACTTCACCTCCGTTTGCCTCAGTTTCCTCAACTATAAAATGGGCACAATAATAGCACCACCCTGCCAGGGTTGCTGTGAGGATCAAAGGAGATCATATATGTAAAGTATTTTGTGAACCTTGAAGTGCGATGTAAATACTAGCTTTATCATTCTTCTTCTTATTATTATTATTGTAAAGTACTTAACAAGCCTTAATATCCCATAGACACGTCAGCTATTACTCTTAAGGTCTACAAAGCAGACCCAGCCAATGCCCCCCACATACTTGGAAGTCCCCCCCACGAGGCTCCCCCTCCTCCTCCCCTGGTAGGTGCCAGACATGGGTGTGCCTAGGCCCCCAGTGCCCCCAGTGAATGCTGATGCCCCCCAGTGGATGCTGGTGCCCTTGACTTCTGCCCTTTCTCCCACTTGCCACCCCCTTCTAAGGAAAAGCGGCTGCTGTCGGTTCACCCCTTTGACTTTGAAGTCGACTCTGACTGTTCAGCTCAGTCTTGTCCTCAGTCTCTGCAGCTTTGTCCAGCACCAACCACCCTGGACGGCTTTCAGGTACTGGGGGGTGGGTGGGCTTTGCTGCCATCCCCCTGCCACTCTGCTCCTGCCTGGCCTGGCCTCCCTGGCAGCCAGCACATCAGCGCCTTAAAGCGTCTTGCCAACCCTGGGGAAATCCTGCCTGGTGGTGGGGTCGTTCTCAGACACAAGAACCAGCCCCCACCCAAGCTGTTACTGACCCTTCCCCACATTCCTCTGTATTGTACTCATACTGACTCCTCTGATGGACTCTGGCTCCCTAAAGGCAGGGAATAGCTTGTCTAGATTCAGAGCTGGAAGGGCCTTGGGGGTCATCTTCACAATCATCCCCCCTCACCCTTCTTTTTTTTTTAATAAAGGAGCAAAGTGAGACCCATTGAGGGGATGAATATTAGAGCAGAGCCAGGATTTGAATCTGGATCCCGTCACCAGGATCCGTGCTCTTGCCTCCCACCAAAGTTAGTACTAGAATTATCTCAAGGGCAAAGTCAGCTCTGCTCTCACTCTCCTTGGCTCTCAACAAGCCCCACGGTAACGGATATGCTGAGAAACCCTCAAATCCTTCATTTCAAAGGACGTGGGATTTCACTCCTGTGACCAGACCCTCTCAGATGCTCCCAGTGCTGACGACGACCACGAGGAAGCTGCCTCCCAGAAGGATGCCCTGATCACCGATGCCAGCCTCGCCCCAGAGGCCGAGGACCTTCTCGAAGAGCAGGGATGCAACAGCCCCAAGGTGTCTGTGCCCTCAGACCCCAGCCTGGAAAGAAAGCCCAGCCCTGGTGAGCTCCAGGGTCCTGTCTGGAAGGGGAGGTGGAATCAGCTGGGAAACCCGGACCATCACCCTAGTCTATAGGAGAGAGGTGTGCACTTCGGGTTAGGGTTTACAGGCCCTTCTCAGTCAGCACCCCCTTTTGGCATCCCCGTATGGATTGCATTAGTTCTGTCTCTCCCTAAGCTATTTTTCTATGTTTCCATGAATATATGAGAGGCACTGTATTAGAATAACTAGAGAGCAAACCTCAGAGTCAGAAGACTTGGGTTCCAGTGTGGCTTCTGACCCATGCTAGCCGTGTGGCCCTGGACAAGTCCCCTAACCTCTCAGGGCCTCCCCTCCAGGTAGCTCTAAGACCAATGAGTTACAGAAGGAGAGCTGACTTGCGTTGACAGGGAGGTTTCACTACAACGTCCTGACATTGATGAAATCCCTGGTCAGTCCAAAAAGTCCATTTTTCTATTCAAGAAACGAGCCACCTTATTGGAAGGAGGCTGGGCTGGGGGACAGGGGAGTGCCATAGATGGCTGGACCTGGGAGAATGAGGATTGGTGAGTACTCTGACATTCCTGGTCACTGGACAGGAAAGGCAGTCTGGGGATAAGCCTCCTTCTGAGGGACCAGCTGTATGGGGCCTGGCTGTGCTCTTTGCTGGGCCCCCATCCTCGAAAGGGCAACAACCAGCTGGAGGATCCAGACGAGGGCAGCTGGGCTGGCGAAGGGCCTGGAGTCTGGGTCAGATGCAAGGAGGTGGAAAGAACTGGGTGTATGTTAGCCTGGAGAAGAGAAGAGTCAGCACGGAACATGATAGCTGGGTTCAAGTGTTTGATGGGCATCCTTTTGGAAGAGGCATCCGTTCCACTGGGCCCTCAGTGATCCATCTCAGTGATCCATCCCAGCAAAAAGATCAGTTTGGAATTGATGTCAGGGAAAGGTCTCTGAGCCTCCCTTCCCAACCTGTAAAATGAGAGAGTTGGACTAGATGAGAGAAGGGGAGGAAATAAGCATTTATATAGCACCTACTGTGTGCTAGGTGTTTACAAATATCTCATTTGATCCTGATTCTGTCATTGGAGTAGATGACCCCTGGGGTCTCTCCCAGATCAAAAAGGATCATCCCACAATCCTAAGTTTCCAGCGATCCTCATCCTAAAGCCTGCTGGAGAAAGTCGCCCACAGCAGTAGATTCCAGGGATATGGGTGCGCTCAGAGCACGCAGCCCCCTAAGGCTCCATCCGCGCAGAGCTATTCATTGAGCCCCTCCGTCCCATGGGGGTTGGATGGGGGTTTGAGCCCAACAGTTCATGCCCTCTCAGTACTGCAGTCAATGAGGTCGTGGCAGAAGCTGAGCCTTTGCTCACTAAGCCACCTCTAATAACATCACCTGACCAGGGTGCATTAGAGAACCTTATTACAGGTTCCTGAAGCACAAAGTCTGCCCCCTCCCCCCCCAAGTTTTTTTTCTTTCTGTTATTTCCCTGCCAGCATCTGCTGACTGCCAAGCAGGGCTAGGATCCTGTAAAGGTCTGTAGACATCAAAGTAGTCTTAAAATTCAGTCAGTCAATTTAACCAAAAAAGTATTTTTTGTGTTTTCTTTTTTAAATTATTTTTACAAACATTTATTATCTCTCCCTCCTACTCCTCCCACCGTTGAATTTTTTTTTTTTCCCTAAGGAAAAAACCCTAGTCCAGCAAGACAAATTCCCACACTGGTCTTGTCCAAAATGTGTATCTCATTCTGCATTTTCAGTTAAGCACCTACTATGCGCCAAGCACAGTGCTAGGCTCTGGGATGCAAAGACAACAATGACTCTGTGCCTGCCCTCAAGGAGCTTACACTCTGCAGGGGTGGGGGAAACAGCATGGAAACTGATAAGTGTAAGGAAATACAAAATGGGTAGAAAATAAATACATGGTGAATTTTGCAAGACCTCCACTTCCCGATGGTTCCCCTTTGGCCCCTCCCAGAGCACTGTCCCTTGTCATAAAGAGTAAAAAAGAAGGTGGGGGAAGGGCAGGGAGAAGTTCAACAAGACTAACCAATGGATCCAAAAAGTCTGGTGAGTATGCAGTGTTCCACACCTATAGCCCCCCACTCCTGTAAAGAAGTAGGAGCAGATGCCTTCTTATATCTCTTCTTTGGGGTCAACCTCAGTAACTATATTTTTGAGGCCTTCAGTTTTGATCCTCTAAACTAGGAGCTTTTACTTGGCTCGAGTAATGGAGAAATGGATTTAAAGTCAGGGGCCCTGGGCTGCTTAGCCAGGAACTGGCTGTGTGACCCTGAGCAAGACCCTTAACTTCTCTGGGCCTTTGTTTCTTCTCTTGTAAAATGAGGGGGCTAGACTCAAATGCCTTTAAGAGCCCCTAAGCCTCTAAATCTATGGTCTTCTGATCATAGGGGCTGAAAGGGGTCCCTCTCACTTCTAGATCCATGAAACTCTCCCCATAGAATTCAAACCCACTCATCCTCCACAGAGGGAGAAGCCATGGGGAGTGACCAGCCCCAGGTCCAGTACTTTGCCGACATGGACACCTCAGACAAGGACCTTGAAGAGGCCCACCAGATGGCAGCCCCCCCGGCCCACTATTCCAAACGCAGAAGCTGGACTTCCTCCCCGGAAAGCACAGCTCCCTCTGAAACCCAGGTAAGAGCAGAGATTCCCAAGAACCTGCCTCCATCCTCTCCTCAGTGTGATAGACTCCACACAGGGACGCTCCAAACCAAGAATGTTAGAACAAAATGTGCTCGAGCATGTCTGCACCATGCTTTCTTTTAGACGCAAAAGTACTGACAGCCCCGTGCTAGAGAAACTCTGAGTAACTGAGGAGGAATGCAGGCCTTCACTTTACTGAGCTCAGGCAGCTTCCTGAAAATTCCAGCTGCTTCTGAGAACTGGGCCCGAAGGCCCTGGGCCTTCTCCCCTCACTCTTTTCTCAAATCCTCCCTTTCTAGACTGCACGTCAAGGCACCAAAGCTTGAAATCCTTTAACCAGCCTGCTCCAGCCACCTGGCCTTCGGCATCCCTTTGACAAACTGTGCCTTTTTCCAAGGCTGGACTCAATCGTAGCCCACAGGTTTCCAATAGCATTGAAATGAGACATCCCCAAAGGCAGACAGAATATCACAATACAACCCTGCATCATGCCATGCTTCGTGGAAAGTTAAGAAATTTACCCCAAAGATGGAAATGGCCTTGCTCTGATGGCCTGGGAGCTCTGATCTAATTTAAAGCCCATTGAACGCCTATGAACTACAGTCAAGTCTAGACTTGGAGAATTAGTGTTATTTCCAAGTCTGCTTAATATTCACCATGATGTGCGGTTTCATGAGGAAGAACTAAAGGAGATGTGTTAAAGTCTTACAACCTCAAGGCCAAATTGGATACACTAAGTAACTGCAGCAAAAGGATAGATTGCAGATCACAAGGCTGGGGGTTGGGTTTGGGTTTTTAAGACGTAAAAGGCTGTGAGGTTTATTGCTCACCAACGGGTTTCATCCTTTACTTTGTCCTGAGTAATTCTCCCATAGTGCAGGTGCCAAGCCTCATGCCCTGGGCCCTGGGCATACAAAGACAAAAGAGATGTAGTCCAAGAGCTGCTCGAACATGACACATACATAGTCAGGTATAAAGGAAGGTAGGGAGAAAAGGGGGCAAAGGAAAAATCAGACCAAGTGCTCTGGGAGAATGTGAGGGAAAAGAGGGGAGGGGAGGGAAGGGGAGGATCGGGAATGGCTTAGCCCATGAAGAAGGTGGCACATAAGCTGAGCCCTGAACACAGAAAAGGATTCCAACAGACTGAGAAGAGAGGAAAGAAGGAAGGAAGGAAGGAAGGAAGGAAGGAAGGAAAGAAGGAAGGAAGGAAGGAAGAAAGGAAGGAAGGAAGGAAAGAAGGAAGGAAGGAAGGAAGGAAGGAAGGAAGGAAGGAAGGAGGGGGAAGAGGGAAGGAAGGAAGGAAAAAAGAAGGAAGGAAGGAAGGAGGAGGAAGGGAGGGAGAGAGGGAGGGAGGAAGGAAGGAAGGAAGGAAGGAAGGAAGGAAGGAAGGAAGGAAGGAAGGAAGGAACAGAGGAAAGAAGGAGGAAGGAAGGAAAAAAAGAAGGAAGGAAGGAAGGAGGAGGAAGAGAGGGAGGGAGGGAGGGAGGAAGGAAGGAACAGAGGAAAGAGGGAGGAAAGCATTCCAGGCATGGTGGATGGCCTGTGTGAATCCACAGAGGTGGGAAATAGCATGGCAGATTCAGGCAGGAGTATACTGGAACCAGCTCAAACCAGCTCCTGTGAGTCAATGGTGCAATGTTCAGGGGAGCATTTACACCCAGGAAATCAGCAAATGCTACAAATCAGGGCTTAACTTAATATTTTTTGAAGAAAATGATGGGGGAAATGTTAGTATTGTAGATTCAACCTAAAAGCATATCCTGCATACATTTTTTTCAGATAGTCAGTTGTTAAACATGTATTACCAGCCCACTCTGGATTCAAGGAACACTTGGCTAGTATTCTAGCTTCACTACTAGCATGTGCAAAGAGGACAATAGGTCATCAGTTTGGGACTATAGGCTGGAGGAGGTCTATGACAGGGTGGCGTATCTGAATCTTACCCTGTAGGTGGCAGAGAGACGCTGAAGTATCATACAATTACAAACAGAGAGCTGGATGGGACCGCAGAGGTCCTCTGGCCCGACCCCTTTGTTTTACAGAGGAGGAAACTGAGGCCCAGAGAGAGGACATGACTTTCCCGGGGTCACACAGCCAATATGTGTCTAAGGTAAAATTCGTCCCAGGTCTTCCTGATTGCACGTCTAGGCCTCTCTCCACTGCACCACCTTTGTGAGCCTAAACGAAGGGTGCTTATATGGCTAACAGCTGTACGAAAGACAAATTGGGTCAGAGACCACTTATTATATTCATATTCTCATTTTATCTTTAAAAAGCATGGTTGCCTTACCTGGAAAAAACAACAACCCTTAAACTTTGACCTTGTTATTCAAAGTTACTGCTCACATTACCCAAAGAACTCTCTCCTTGGCAGAAAGAAGTCATCATGGGATGCCTCCTGTTGAAAATAAAAAGTCAGGAAACCTTATGACCTTGGGCCTTTGGCTAATCCTCTCCCTGAGCCTCCATTTCCTTCTCCGCAAAATGTGGGGGTTGGACCAAAGGGGCCCTGAGTTCTCTCCCCACTGATGTTCCCTGATCTCTGTTGGGTCTCTCTCATAGGGCAAGGCATTGACCACACGTGTAAAAACACACTCATCTACATACCTAAACACAGCTGTGCGTGTGTATATATACATATGAAGACAGACGGTCCTTCCATCTAAATGCATGTCATAATATTAGTTCTTACTTTGTGAACATGTCATACTTTGTTTGTGTGCTCGAGACAAATCTCTCATCTCTCAGGCTGCCATTTCTTCCATTGTAAAATGAGAAAGTCTTAGACTAGATGGGAGGTAGCTGCTTGGCACAGTGGATAGAGCACTGGATCTGGGATCGGGTCAAATCCTATGTCTGACATTAGCTGTGGGACCCAGGGCAAGTCACTTCACCTCTGCTTGCCTCAGTTTCCTCATCTGTAAAATGGGGATAATAACTGAAAGGCTTTACAAACCTTAAAGTACTGCATAAATACTAGCTATTATTATTCTTATCATTCCAGCTTTAAGTCCCTGATCCTCTCAGACCCTCAGTTTCCTCATCTGTAAAGTAAAGGTATCAGCATATATGGCTTTGAAGGTGCCTTCCAGATCTAGATTGATGTTATTATCATTTGAAATCATTCCACCTCTAACAAGCCTGGTTTCCTCATCTGAAAACAGGGGGGGAAATAGCCCCCCGACTCAATCCCTGGAACGGTCAGGGGACCCAGATGAGATTTTATTTTAATTTTTTGAAGTGCCTGACTACATGGAAGGCCCTCCAGCGCTCGGCTCCTCTGCTTCTGCCAGCCTGACCTTTGCTCCAGGGACGTTGGGGCCTCTTCTCCCTAGACCAGTCCTCTGTCCCCACAACTTCTTCAAAGGGGATGTGTAACAGGACGTTTACCCATGACTTTAGTCCATTCGCCCACAAATAAGAGATTCCAGAGGAGACAGGTTAGGGGATTGAGCCACTCCCTGACCCCATGAGAGGTCTCGAGAAAGCTCTCCAAGGTGCATGGGCACAGAATCCGCTGCCCTTCACCTCCAGGATGACTCAGTTGTCCACTTGCTAATTGGTGAGACAGCCACTAAACGAGCACATGCCCGAGATCTGACCCCCGAGCCAGGGTGGGAGGCTGGTCCAAGGTTTGCTCCCAGGGAGAGGGCTTCAAATGAATTTAAGCATTCAGCCGCTTCAGGCATTGGCTAAATCAATAAAGCCAATGAACCCGGAACCCGGCTGCTTTTTGTCCTGTTTACTCAGACCTGTTTAATGGGACTGGGAAATGAGCTACTTCAAAATAAGGATGCCATGTGACCCAGTGGGGAAATGCCCTGGTTTTAGAGCCAGAAGACTTGGGTTCAAATCCTGTCACTGTCCACTGTTGCTGTGTGACCTTAGATAAGTCCCTTTACTTGCCTGGGCTTCTGTTTCCTCATTTGTAAAATAAGGGGGTTGAATTCCTTCCAGTTCTGGACCTATGATGCTCTGATCTTCCACAGGTTTTTGATGAAGATCCCCTGCCTAACCCAAGCTCTGGGTGTTCATGGAGACTCTGTCTCTTCCTCCTCCCACTCAGCTTCCTTGGTCTTAATTACTTGTATTATTTTCATTCCATGAATTACAAGATGATTTGAAGCCACTTTTGGTGCAGATAACAGACATAGGCAGGCCATTTCTGGGCCCAGTACCCCAACCTTCCCAGGTGGAAATAATCCACCAAGAGGCTGCCCTCTGCATGCAGAGCCTTTGACAGTCCTGATGATGGGTCAGAGGTGGATGTTGACAGAGGACCTGGCATAAAAAGATATTAGGATACAGCCCCCGTGCCCTGCAAGAATCAAGCACTTTCTCCTTCCCTTTGTGGCCTCAAAAGCAAGAAATGTCATCCAAGTCTTGTAGTAGGACCTTGAAGTTACAAATCCTCTGACTCCATGTTGAACATGAAGAGTTTGGACCCAGTGATCCCTCAGGTGCCCCATTGATTTCTAAAATTCCAGGATTTACTCAGGATTTTTTCTGTATTCCTGATTTCCTGTTTTTGACCTAAGTTTGATATTTCAAAGAATAATACACTCCCATTTTCACTCTGGTGCTGGAAGGGGCCTCACAGACCATCCAACTCTGCCATTTTAGAGGCAAAGAGGAAGCCAAAGAAGCAGATGGTACATGACAAAGACAGAAGTTGAGCTCAGGTCTTCAGGCTCTAAATCTTGTTGAATTCTGCCTCAACATGGCAACGATGATGATGATGATGATGATGGTGATGGTGATGGTGATGGTGATGGTGATGATGGTAATGGTGATGATGATGATAATGATAGCTAGCATGTATATCATGCCTACTGTGTGGCAGGTACTTTACAAATAGTATTTCATTTGGTCCTCACAACAACCCTGGGAGGTAGATGCTATTATTATCACCCTTTGCAGCTGAGGAAACTGAGGCAGACAGTGATGAAGTGACTTGTCCAGGGTCACACCACTAGCAAGAATTTGAGGCCAGATTTGAACTCAGGTCTCTATGACTCCAGGCCCAGTACCACCTAACTGCCCTGGCGTTACTTTGTCTCAGGGATTTTAATCAGGTTGGGGACCTGACTCAAATTTGGAATTGGTTTTTTCCTCCATGCTCAGGGGTAGCAGCTGCCCAGTGAATATGCTCTGTTGTGAGATGTTCACAGTGGATAGAGTTGAGGGGGGAATTACTTCAGATCAGATCACATTGATCTGAGTGTCTTAAGGAAATGATTCATTAGAGCCGAGGGTTTAGCACATAAAAGGACAATTGATCGATTATGATACACACCTCTCCCAGTTCAGAAAGATACTCCCACTCGAACCCTGAGTGCCTGGAGGGGCCTAGGCTAAAACCATGGCCCTGTCCCTTTCCTCTCTTCAAATACACCAAATGAGAAGCAGATACAATAATGACAAGAGACTTCACCTAGTCAGTAGAATTGAAATGGAGACCAATTGATTTTCCTCAGTCGTACTTAGCCCAAGAGAATGATCAGTTTGGGATGACAAATAGAAATCAAAATTACCCCTTTATATAGACCCTTGGATTCTGGCAGGAAACCAGAGGCTCTGATCACCCAATGGCCACTTCACCTCCATCAGTGTGGATGCAATTAATGTGTGCTTTCTGGTGTGGATCAATATTGGGGCTTCTTATTGGATGTGTTGGGTAAACATCCCTGCCCCCAGTGAGAGGAAGGACAGGAGGCACCAGTATCTGCTGTCCTGGGTTTAGATAAACTTATGATCCCACAAGAATCGTTTTTTAGTTTGTTCATTATGCCTGTGATTTCCCAATCTCTCTTGCCAAGTCATCCAGCTTTTTGCCTTGAACTCTGAAACTGGGGAGGCAGATTGGGGTGGTAGAGGTCAGGCAGAGGCTAGTCTTAGAATCAGGAAGACATGAGTTACTGCCAAACTCTTACCAGCTTCGCTGCTGACCCTAAGTCAATCACTTCAGTTTTCTGTGATTCTGTTTTCTCATTTCCAGCTGGAAATCTGTGACTCAATGATTTCTAATAGCAGGGCTTCCTTAGGGAGGGCTGCTAGCATCCCTTCCGGACTCTCCATTCTGTGGTTCCTCTGTGGCCCTTTCATGAGGGCCTCCTCCTATGGGCTCCTCTTGGGTGCTCTGGTGCTTCTGAGGTGGTGGGCGCCAGTATTGGGAAGCAGAATCTGTTTCCTCTGCTATCTCGCTCTTTCTCCTGCCGCAGATCTCTGACATGAATCGGCGCCTTCTGGTCATCGAATGCCTGCTGGCCCGGTTAGAGGAGAGAATCCTGGTGCCCTGGGAGGAGGTAATGCTGAGCCACGCCCTGGCAAGCCATGTTCCCTCCTGGTCCTGTCTTAGTAAAGGAAATGATGCTGAAATGGAAGTTTCTTGTTGAATTAAATAGAGCAACTTATACCATTACCTCATTTTATTCTTGAAATAACCCTGGGGAGGAGGTGCTACTCTTGGTCTCATTTTATGATGAGGAAACTGAGGCAGACAAATAAGTGATTTGTCCAAGGTTATAGAGCTAGTAACTAAATGTTTGAGGCTGGATTTAAACTTAGGTCTTCCTGACTCCAGGTCTGCTGCTCTATCCACTGAGCCGTCTAGCTACTTGAATAGATGCTTGTTGAATAAATTCAACCTACGTATCCATGATGTATGAGGCAAAAGGCAGCATGGAGTAATGGACAGGTCAGGAAGACTCCAAGTTCAAGTCCTACTTCCAACACAAACTGACTGGGTGACCCTGGGCAAATCACTTAGCACAGCAATAGACCACTAGCCCTCCCAAATCTGAGTCTATGATCTCAAGAACCTACAGATTTTGACTATCTATGACTATCTGCTAGATAATACAGGTGATGTGCTTTGCAAACTTGAAAATGTCATAGAAATGTTAGCTATTATTATTATTAGAAAGACCTTGAATGAATGAAAGATAAATCATTTATTAAGTACCTGCTAGGTACCAGGCCCTGTGCTAAGGCCTAGAGAATAGAAATATAAGCAAAACAATCCCTACCTTCAAGGAGCCTTACGTTCTAATGGGAGAAAATAAGACATAAAGGGGAGCAGGAGGGGGGTGTGGGTAGAACAGCAGGGAAAAGGCAGGGAGCCCTGGTTGTAGGCAAGATGAGGCAGAAACAGAAGTCAGCATCCTAGGGGCAGAGTTCAAAGTCCTGAGCAGAATGAGAAATATAGCCTGAGCACTGGCAGCATGGTTTGGCAAGAGATCCAGCTCAGCCAAAAAATTCTGAGAGAAGTCCATGCCACTCTGGGACAGCTCTAATTTTAAAAAGTGTTTCCTGAAAAGTCTCCCAGGCCACACTGTAGCCAACCAAGAATTCCCTTATACCATATATCTAGTTCAACTCCTTCATTTTGCAGATGAGGAAACTGAAACTCGGAGAAGGGAAATGACTTGCCTGAGGTGGCAAAGTGGGAGAGGCAGGATTTGAATTCAGGTCTTCTGATTCCAAACTATCTCTCCACTGCCTCATACAGTATGTATTGTTAATATCAATCGATCAATAAACATTTATTAAGTGCTTACTATGTGCCAAGCACTGTATTGAGCCATAGGATACAAAGACAGAAATGAAAATAGCCCTCACATTCAAATGTGAGAAAGCATGTGCATATTCAAGAGGTACATAATGTATTCAAAATGAGTACAATAGTTTCAGAAGGGAGTATATCCTATGTAACTAACTGGTCATTTACGATTAGAGTAAACCACAAATAATCATCTAACTCCCCCAATATGACAATCCATTCGAGATCTCATCAGTGTGGTAATATCCTCCAATGACTTCAGATCCCAAATGGTCTGTAATTTAACACTTGGAATGGGTTGCCTAAAGCTCAGAGACAAGTGACTTGCCCATGGTCACCTAGCTGTTCCATATCAGAGGTGTGATTTGAACCTAGATCTTCCAAGGACAGCTTCCTCCAGATCACCACTTAATGAATTTATGGCAGTCATCTTTATCTCTTGTCAACTCCAACCTTTTTTTTTTTTTTTACCAAGAATAAGCTTTCAGAGAACAGTTATTAAATTAACATCACTGTTCCTGGACAGGACCTATCAATTATTGGCCAATTACTATTCCCTGTGACTTTCTGGTCCAAACTCTCCTCCCTGCTGACCACTCCCCTCTATGTGTTGTCTTCACTCTTAGAACATAAGCTCCTTGAAAGCAGGGGCAGTCCCCCTTGCTTGAATTTGCATTTCCATTGCTTAGCACAGCATCTGACTCATAGAAAGTTCTTCATAAATTTTTTTTCATTCATTCCATGCCTTAATTAATGGTTCCCATGAGTGATATAGCCCCCCCCCCCCAAAAAAACCACCTCAGCTAGGGGCCAAGGTCTGGTGATGATCCCTCCTGATAAAGTGAGGTGGGCATCACTGATCTCATCTTTGAGAATGCAGAGTCCCCAGCGCCTCACCATGAGGCATGGCTGGGGAAGAGGGAGGACATTACTGGAAGAGTCATGTCTTACATCTCTGGCTAATAGGAGACCTGATCACAGGGAGCAGGGTTGGTGTATGGCTACACAACCTGGAAAGAGGCAGCTTGGAAGGAATGAAAAAACAGTATTAACCAGAGGATAATGGAAAGGAGCCTCATTGGATTGGATATGAGAAAGCAGCATCAAATTACAGAGAGGGAAGGTGATCAGAGGATCGTTGATTCTGAGACAAAAGGCACCCCATCATTTTACAGATAAGGAAACTGAGGCATTCAGAGGTGAACCTAATTGCTCCAGTCCACACAGATGGTATGTAAGGCAGGAATTGAACTCTAGTCTTTCCAACTCTAGGCAGCTAGGCTGCCTAGTGGTTAGAGCACTCCATTTAGAGCTAGAAAGACTGGAGTTTAAATGAGTGTGTCACATAATGAGAGTGTGCCCCATTGGTATCACTGAAATATCAGGGTGAACCTCCTGTGGCAGACTTACGGGATCCCATGAGCAAGGGTAGAACAGGAAGGGCACGGATGGATGGATGGATGGATGGATGGATGGATAAATGGGCTGCAATCTGCCCCAGTGGAGAGACACACATCAGTGAGATCACAACCCTATTGAAATCCTGGAATATTGAGTAATATTGGAGCTAATAAAAAGAGCTACTGTTATAGGGAGAGCCTTGGGGGGGGTGGAGAGACAATGTCAAGAAAACATTCATTGGGGGAAAAAAAGTCAGTAAGATGTAACTGCTGGGAAGGCAAGGACTGCTTTGACTTTTTGCCTTTGCAACTACAGCATCTAGGCCACTGCCTGGCATATGACAGACCTTTAATAAATGTGTGGAGAGGAAGGGAGAGAGGAAAGGAGGAGAAAGGGAGGGAAAATGGAGGAAAGGAGGAAGGGAAGAAGGAAGGAAGGAAGGAAGGAAGGAAGGAAGGAAGGAAGGAAGGAA